CCTACAGGGCAGGGTTGCTCAGTCAACGCCCAGAGCTGCTAGCACATGCCAGGTTATGGAGGTTGGGGTGGAGCTCCCCCTTTGACCGGTGCACGGTGGAATGCATCCGCCGCGCCGAGCGCAAAGCGCACCGAACGCGACCAGACCCAACTGAGCCAAGCTTGACATCGAACAATCGCCACAGGATGCCCACGAGCTGCGACGAGGGCTTCGCCCCACAACTCCTTCAGACAGATAGTTCGATAGATGTATACAGCTTCTCTTTTTTTGTTGCTCGTTTTTGCTTTTTTAATATTTGATGCATACATATATATATATATCTATATATATATATAGATACGCGTAGGTAAACCTCACAGAGCGCGCGTGCGCCCCGAAACGCTTGTACATTGCACATGACCTCGCAGGGCTCGGTGCCCTTGGCCCCCTGTGGACCTGGTGGCACGAGCTACGTATAGTTGCCGGCCCATTCCCAAAAGGGAGGGCGCGGCGGAGGCAGTGTTAGCCAAGGAGAATCACGCAAGTGGTGATGACAGCTTAGCGGCAAAGCAAGCTTCAATCCCACGTTGCACATACGGCGAAGGCATTGGATAAGGAAGCATTGAATGAGGAACATCGGGCTTGGAAGATGCTGGAACACCAACTGAGGCGTGGCCATCGATGCCACCGCCGCCCAATTGTTTGGGAAGAAACAAACACACAAAACAAAGCACAACAACAAAAACAAACACCACCACCACCAACAACAACAACAACAACACCATCGACACAACAACAGTAACAACGAAACAACAACAAGGACAATCACAAGCATAAAACTAATACTGATACTACGATTTCCAACAACAATAACGACAACAACTACAACAACAGCACCAACACAACTAGTAATGGCAGGAGCAACAACAGCAGCAGCAACGAACACATCATCACCAGCAACAACAACATCAACAACCACAACCACAGCAAAACTAATAACGGCAACAACAACAAAACTGTGCTAAGACTGTTCGTTCTCATCTGCCAACGTGCCATCCAACACGTATATCCCCAAGCCTCGATACCCTCTCTCTTCGTCTTCGACCGTACCCCTATTAGGAGTAGATCCTTCCTACCTGCAACGTGTATTTCGTGCAGCCCCTGAGGCACGGGAAGAGAGGACGGATGGAAGGAAGGGACAAGGGACAGGCGGGTTGCTGAAGCGTGCCTCCTGCATGAATCGCGAGGAGGTCTCGAGCGATAACGCGATTCCTAAGTAACTCGTGAGAAAATCCACAGCGAGAGCGTGATTCCTGAGTGTCGAGGGCGCAGCGTTTGGGTAAATTGTGAAGACGTCCCACACGATATTGCGATTCCTTCATACATTGTAAGGAAGTCCCGCGCGAGAGCGCGATTTGGGAACACATTCTGAAGAAATCTGAGGCGGGAGCCGTTGTTGTTGTAAACCGAGGGCCAGGGGCACAATTTGGTGGCACCTCACTTCCCATTGTAAAAACAACAAGGTGCGAGCCCCGGGATAAGCATTTCAACTGAAAATGCAATGGCTGCTGGAGAGGGAATCACAAATAATTATCGTTCAGAAATGAGACATGAACAACAACAGAAGCAACAACAAGCCAACACCCGTGACAGCAACAAAAACAACAACCACAAACAAAAAACAACAGCAACAACAACATCAACAACAACAGCAACAGCATCATCAACAACAACAACAACCTCTGCATCATCAACACCAACAACCATCAACTTAAGACTGTTCGCTCTTTTCTGCCCGCGTGCCAATCAAGACGCATACCCCAAAGCATCGGTACCCGCCCACTCCGTCTTCGATCGTACCCCCTCTTGGGGGTATATGTTCCCTATCCGCGCGTAGTTGGCGCAGCCCCTAAAACAAGGGGAGGAGGTGAGGAATGAAATGACAAAGGGGGAGAAGAAGGACGGAACACGAGAGAAATTTGTAGGAGGAGGGCTAGGAACAGCAGCACAAGTGGCAGAACCAGCCTGGCGTGTCGGGCGGGCGGACGCTAACGGGCAGGTCGGGCGGGCGGGCCCAGGCGGCCAGGTCGAGCGGGCGGGTCGCTAAAGCGTCATACCATCATGAAGGAAGTCTCGAGCGATAAGGCGATTCCCAAGTAAATCGCCAGGGAATCCAAAGCGAGAGCGTGATTTGTCAGTCTTGGGGGCACGGCGCCGCAATAGATCGGGAGGAAGCACCACGCGAGGGCGCGATTCCCTGGCTAAATGAAGGAGGAAGTCCGGCGCGAGAGCGCGACTGGCACATACACGATGGGTAAAGCTCAGGCTGGAGCCGTTGTTGCTGTGAACCGGGGGGGCCGACGGCGCAGCTTGGTGATCACAGGACTTTCCCTGACAAACAAAAAAGGGTGCGAGCCCCGGAGGATGAGCATCCTTGCAACGATGCCTATCCCCACCAGCGTGGGCTGGGCCCCACTGGCCGATTTACCTCCCTGGTGGGGATATGATATGGGCTGCTCTC